ATTTTCCTTCACCCACCGAGTCCTGTTTTTTGCCGCGTGACGAAGAACACGGTGTTCGACTCTTGGAAATCCATTCGACTTCGTGTAGGGCGATCCATTAGGGTGAAGGGTGGGGATGGGACTACAGCACCATGGATCACCCCCATGGAATAGGGTCACCACATGTCGTGTTTCATCGTATTTTTCTCCGAAGAAAGCACGTGGATTTGCTCTTCGGACTCGGTGCCGAGATCACCTCCTCGAACCACGCGAAGCTCACCGACTTCGGCGGCTGCCGGCCGGTCACCGACGAGGCGCGCGCGCCCCCCGGTGACGAAGTGTTGCTCCGGGTCCATCAGCCGGGTGGGTTAAGAGTGGGTGCGTAAGCGAGCTTGTAACGTGATGGCTAAGTTGGGTAGTGATCGAAGTGTATAGGAGATGAAAGGAGGTAAGTTGGGTGTTTGTTTTCTTTTTCGGGTAGATGAGTGCGTGAACATGAATTGTTACAACAACCGCCAAATTGCCTAATTTGTGTATGCAATAGACTCAATAGACAGTGACATTGCGAGGTCAAAATCTTGCAGAGGGTGGAGAGCCACACCAAGCATTTGAAGCTTCAGCACTTGGACGATCTTAGATTATGATTTCTTGGTGTGCTTTGGATGGCACAGGAAAACCTGATGTGAGGTGACAATGAGATGTTTGTTGTTATGGTTATGGTCCATGGTTATGAATTATATGGTAGCATGGATTAGCATGGTGGGATGTCCTCCATGTCCCAAATCCGCTTGTCTTTAGTCCCACGAAGCCTCGGGCAGCTCGCTCAGGCGGCGACGAATTGCCGTCGCGCCTTGCTGAAGCGCTTGAGAGATGGGGACTGGCGCGCGGAGGAGCGAAGCAGAGCGAAGCAGAGCGAAGCTGGGCGAAGCTGGGCGAAGAAGATCAACCTTACCTTCTTGTTTGTAGGATGATTATGGATTATTCATGATTATTCCATGTTCGTCAATGTTCTAAATCTATGTTTAATGTGTGTTGGATGCTTTTTTTTTTGGAGCACCGTCTAAAGTTTGTGGTCGCAGGGTCCAAGCCGTAACTTCAGTACAAAAGGGGGGGAACCTGCAAATATGTTTTTGGAATCTGGCCTCGGATCTCGTTGTTTTGAGTTTCCACTGTGTCACGAGTGTTTCAGGGATGTTTCGGAACACATCGCCAGAAGGCAGACACGTGGACTGTCGAGTTCGGGGCTGGAGGAGAGAACCTTCAAGTCAGATGATTCTGTGGGCCCACCCATACGTGGATACAGCTACCCAGCCTGTGGCCAGCCTGTGTTCTTTTTGCGGGGTCAGACCAGTCCAGGACGTCATGAAGCAGTGGATTTGTGCGTTGTAGCCTCGGCTCGGCGACCTTCCCAGGACGCCCCAGAAGTGCAGCTCTCGGAGTTGGAGGCTCAGGTTGTTGCAGACGCCCGAAGTGCGACGAAGCGACAGATATGGGTGTGTATTAAAATGTTTTTTATAGGGGAGATCTCTCAAAGACCCCCTGGAAGAAGGGACATAGACAAAAACCATCAAAAACCCATGGGTGGAGTAGAGGGTCTCCCTATTCTAAATACACACCCATGACACTCCTCAGGTCGAAACGGATGGGAAGGCCGGCCCAGGAAGGTTTGCCGGCCTTCGGCAGAAATCTGTTCCATCGGGCATCCAGCTGTAACTCCAGGTTTTCCGGGCGTCTCATGAGGTGTGAGGAGGAGATCATTGACGACGGCCGCGTGGAAGGCACCATGATCTACCTGCCACCTGAGGCGAGCAGCAATCTGGTCCAAAACAAGAGGGATGCCGGTGACCCTTTTAAGTTGCAGAACCAAAATAACATGTGCAACAGGCATTTTCAATACAACAAAGAGCATTTGATCCCCTCAAACCTTGGAATGGCTGAACTTGTAGAGGAGCATGCGGGATACATCGAGTCCCACGGGGGTTGTTGCTTCAAAGTGATCCCCAGGAATATACGAAGATACCGTAGTGATACTACCCCCGAGTCCCGCGCGAGTATTGAATATTAATCGTTTCAGGTTGGAATAGGTCGCACACATGCGACCGGTCGAGACTAGAAGAGACTGCGACCAGTCCATAGTCGTCCGCGGAAGACGCCTGGAAGAGGTGGTGAAAGGTGGCACTCCAAGCTTCGCCTCAGACGCCTGGGCGCTAGGGTGCCTTGGGCCCAAGCTCGTTGGTGGGTCGTTGTTGCGAACGACCGGGTAGCTTTCTCAACTCCTGCAAGGGGGGGCCGGTCAGAGGGTTTCGGGCTCCAACGTTGCAGTTCATCAAGCATGAGGGTTCTACTACTGGTATACTGGTTCCATACTGAGGTCCGCAGCCAAATGGTTTTCCAGGCACTCGAGTTGAGGCTGTGGTACTTGATACAAAAGTAGCCTGTCGCTTCAGTTATAAATAAGCAGGGTTGGAAACAGTGAGACCAACAGAGCTCCAGCTTGAGCTTTTTTTTGGAGGGTTCAGAAGAGGTGTCACAGTTCTTTACATCAAGGGTTGATGATCAAAATGTTCGCCACAAACCTGCTTGGGGCCGTTTCTGGGATACTTCTTCCAAACCAGGCTTCTAGCTGCCAAACCGGGCCGTCTGGAAGCCGGGCCCCACCGGTTTAGCCGGCCACCAGAGTCCCAGGTGTTTACTCTACCAGCTTCTGACTGGGCGCCCACCGGTCTGGGTCAGAATGCTCAGAAATTTCTCGGTCGGCTCGGTCGGTCAGCGGTGAAACTCGATGTTTGCTTAGAGCCTCTTTTTCGGAGCGTCCTGGGATCGAGAGGAACGAACATGGAACCATGCCCGCGCCAACGGCCAAAGGCGCACCAACGGAATTCGATGGAATTTAGATCGCGTTGAACTGCTGAACTAGGTGAAACGCGTGCGGAAGACTGTCAAGTTGCAAGGACTGCGAAGCAGCCATTTTTTGTCATAGTAGATGTTGAACCCAGGGGTTCATTGGCGGTTTTGAGATGTAAAGAGCTCACCCATCTCCAGACGCCCAGGCCGACAGTGAATTAGAAGAGGCCTTTCCGTTGAGGGCAGAAATTCTGACTGGTCACTGGGCCATGACGTTCAACTTGCAGATCTCAAAAGCATGGACGCACAAGTTTCTTCAGTATCGCGCATTAGTTTTCCGGGAACAATTGTTTTTTTCTATAGGCATTCTTGTCGAATGCTTTTCAAGGCATGCCTTAAAGCTGGAACATGATCTCTAGTTGAAAGAGCCCCCCTTCCTAGCTGGGAAGTTTGGTGGCCAAGAGAAGGGGACAGACATGTTGCACTACACTGGTGGTGTTCTTGCCCATCTCGGGGTTGGAACCTCTTTCTGAGCATGATCGCAGTTCTTCAACATCCAAAACATGATAATCAAAGGTATCCGAAGTTTGTGTGAACAAACACTGAGAGACTACATTCATTGGCGGAAGGAAATATGTCTACTGTCTACTGTAATTTCCGTAATTTCTGCACAGAGAGGTGGCTTTCTGCATGTTTGTTAACTAACACGTTCTTCGGCTCGATCGGGTTTCTGCCAGACAGCTAAAAGGTGATTATTCTTCAATGGCAGGTACTTGGCTGGGTAGGTGTCTTTTCTTTGTGGATCATGTTCGACTCAGGTTTATAAGCTACAAGTTTGAATGGTGCAGAATTCTAGGAAGGGGAACCGATCTGGGTTTGAGAAAACAACCCTGGAATTCTTACGTAGAATTGTCTATGAAACATGGGGATGCCGGCTATGAAGATCATACGGCCCTGGGTATATACTTTCAGAAGGCTGTGTTTTGGGTGATTTCTTCAACTCAAGGCTAAGGTAACTGGATCAAAGATTGAGGCCCTCGTTCAGATTCATGCTGTTGTGAATGACCTGCACAGCATCAAGTTGGTCTTCCTATGCTTTGCACTATGCGTGTCATTATTGTCCGACTTTGGACAAAGAATGCAACAAACAATGTAATTAACATTCACTTGGCCATTTTGCAACACATAGCAGAACAGAGATCTCTGAACACGGCAGCCTCAGATCAGAGAATTGCTTTTTTCCATTCATTGGCCAGGAGATCCGATCACGCATTGTGAGCTTCCAACTCGATGACGGCGCGGATGTCTTGTTGGGACCCTACCCGAATGCTGACGTACGCAACTTCCAATCATTACAGATCAGGGCTTCCTCTACAGAAAACTACGATTCGTTTGAAACGTTTGCTGTCGAAAGCCCTGCTTGACCTAGTAGCCCACAGCATCAACCTAACGGCCTGGCGTGACAGCGAGAGATAGCATGAGATAGCATGAGACCTTCGTTGGGGTCAGCTTGGGACACTGATAGTCCTTGAGGATGTTGGAACTCGGATCCTGGCAACGAATCTCTGTCAAACCATCCCTGCCCCCCCGATTCTCCTGACAGGTCAGGACTCAGGACAAATATCATTTGACATCTAAAGATTTATGTGTTTCGCGGTGATACTGGGCTTGGCCTGCATTTTTGATCCAATCAACGCATCGGGCAACACTGTGGAGGTTGGTTCCCATCGAATCAAGTTTCTTGAGCTTGTTGGCGCCAGGGATTGCCCTTGCCAAGTATCCCAAATGACGTGACTGTTTCATTATGTTTTACAGTTTCAGTCATATTATCACGGTCAGTGTCGCATGTCAGGATAATTCGGATAATTCTCCATCTCCGCAGCCGTTGAGTGAACTCGTTTGGCTTGTAAGTCTAGTTGGAAGTGCGATGCTGGATTACTGTCCTGTAGAGAGCAACAGATTGTGTCGATGTTGCTTTGCTTTATTCTGAATTATTCCCTGCCACATCTACATCTAATGATCTAATGTGATTAATTAATTTCATTGCTTCAGTAGGTGGTTTAGGCTTTCTTAGCTTGTGACCTCTTCATAAAGATGGTTTGTTCCTTGGAACAAGGTTGGTTGCATGGAAGCCTACAGGCACTTCGGAACCAGCAATGAATACTCCTCAAGTTGCCATGGCAGAGGGATCTGCACAGCTTGGGGAGGAGCCAAGGCCAACGCAGCTGCACTTGGGTGCCCAGGCTGAGTTGGCCACTCTTTTTTTTTGATCTCTTTCTGCACAAGATGTCTCGTGCCGTTCAAAGGACTTTTATGCCTTTCTTATCCAGATGTTTTCAGCTGGCTAGAGTGCGGGCTGTGAGGTGAAGATGTCATAGGCAGGGATCCATCAAGCCGGGTGGAGTGGTTTTGCACGAGGAACCTTTTTGAAGATACTGGAGTGAGGTCTAGAAATGACCGGGTGAAATCATGTCAGCGGAAAAGCACGGAAACAGAACGCTTCTACTTTTCCAAGTATATACTGCGATTACATGTGAAGCTGCGAACCTTCTCAAGGGCTGCGTTGAGGAAAGCATAGTAATTCACGCATTTATTTCGTGAAACCTCTTCATCCTGGGATGTTTGGCAAAAGCAGAGATCGCAGTAGGTTCCCTGCAATTTACCAATGTTCGATCTCATTCTGCGGACTGCTGTTTTGTATAATCTTGAAAACAAACCTAACTCATCCCAGCTAAGATTCCCGTAGACTGGAGGCCAACTCCTCTTAAGTCTTGGCCACTAAACCACCACAACCGCCAGGCCGGAGCACCTCAAGAGAGCCAGACAACCTGGGACGAGGATGCACACTTGGGAGAGCGTGGGTCGATGTTGGAAATCAACAGAAAGAGAAGGTTAACCCATGTTTGTCAGATGTGTTTTGTCTTGGTCCTATAATGACCAAAGCACCCCTTCACCTCCAGCTTTTGTTGAGAACCACTGTTCTGCAATGTGGCAGCTATGATAAATCTCTGAACATTTCAGAACATATTGTAAACTGTGTTGCTGGTTTATGTACTTGCTACCGTAACCACGCCAATTGCCCGTTGACTGCCGAACTCAGCGGTTTGGGGCGTTCCTTCTTTCCTTCCTTCTGAATTTCCTATGTTTGTTTTGGTTCCATTTTTGGTACTTCGATGGATCATAGTGGAAAGCGCATCATGGTGATTTGCTGTATCATGAGTCATCACTGTGAAGGGACCTAAGAATGACGAGTATGCACATAGAACTTTTGCCAGGTGAGTATGTGCTCTGGCTCAAGTTTCGAGTTTTTGGATTCCACTCAGTGATGTTGTGAAAGACAGTCAAACGCTCTTGGTGCATCTCATTTGGTCGTTTTTTTTCAGCAAGATGGAGTGTTGGAACAGAAAGACCCAGGAAAAGGTTCTGGATTTGCTTCCAATTGCTGGAACCTTCCAGGCGCTGCTGTCCCAAAGCTTGCTGATGCCTCGTTGACTCAGTTCCGGCAACTTTTGTTTGAGCTCGAGCAGCAGCCCCTTTGACGGCATTGGATGCAGGATATATATATATATAAATGATTCTGCAGCAATTGTGGTTGTAGCAGGGGAAGATCAACATGCATTTTGTCAAAATAAGTCTGGAAACAACTGGGTAGGGTGTGCTTGTCGATGCCCTGTGTGTTCAAAGTGCGCAAAGATTGGGTGTGGATCTCTTTAGCATCTTCTTAAAGATGTGTTTTCAAAACTAGCTGACAAAGTCCCCACAACATGTCCAAACACTGGCACTTGTTTTCTTTCGCTTGATGAGGAGAAACCCATACTTGGGTTTTCGCTCTATATAGACAGAAAAGAAGTTACAATCTTCGCGGCCCTGAGAAATTCTCATGAGACAATTGGTGCATAATGGTCTAAAACTGATGATTGGATGCGGGGGGCTAAGATGACACCACTGACGATGTTATGACAGCCGAATGTTGGTGTAAAACTTCGGATTACATCACTAATTTGTAGTGGAGCCTGTGGTTTTTTTGGACTGCGATAAATTACACATGAATTTTGGTGTGAGCCATCCTCCTTTTTGTGGACTCCTTAAACTCGTAGCAGGCCCCCCCAATGCCAAACACGGGCCTGGTGGATGCCTGGTTGTGCTTGTCCCACACCTGCAAGATCGGAAAGGCATCCATCCAGACACGCAGTTGCCATCCATCCACCGAGCAACAGTCCTTACCTCTGATACTATCAACATGCAGCTGGGAAGACGTGATGGATGGCGCCTGGCGCAGACGTGATGGATGTTCGTCAAAGACACGACGTCGTGAGATGACTGTCTGACACGAGGTATGTCCAGGATATGAAGCGCTGGACACGAGAGAGTGGGCTCCTGCGAACTGAAATGAGTGATTTGACGGGCCTTTCAACACAGAAAGTGGAAGATCTCCTGAGAGAAGACAGTGGTTTTTTTCGTCGGGACACTCAGAGGGCTTTTTTGGAATGGGAAAGAATGGCCTGTATGCCAGCCAAGGTCCCAAATCCTGGGCGATGATTTGATCAATGTCATCCAATGGATTGGGCCATGTAAATCGGATGCGACCAACCCACCAGCATGCAGTAGGCACAGAGCCACCGCAGGAGATCCGTTGACGAAACGCTCTCCCAGGAGCCCCTAGTAGCTTCTTTGCTCCTGGTAGCGGTGCAGGCATTGGTCCCAAATGGTAGGGCCTTCTTGTCCTGAAAAAGCTGCTTGACCAGCCTGGACAAAACTCAAGCTGAGCCATCAGCCATCAGTGATCTTGGGAGGCAAACATAGTTGGTGACCTTTTAGCGGGTTGAAAGGGGTTGAGGGGTGCCCATCACCAAGAGCCGAGTTACAGAAGTGAAAGACAACAATAGAAGTTTGGATCACCTGCCTTTGGGTGGGAAACGTAAAGCACGAAGCCCTACAAACCGAGTCTCATCATGGTTCATCCCACTTCCAGGTTGATAGATCCTCCAAGCCACAACCGATCCAACACTCCAACACCACACCGCTATTGGGCCCGGCATGGACTGCCACCATCGTTCCGCTGAGGGTTTCCTCCTCATTTGGTGTCACGGCCATCTTTGAGAACAAGCGGCTCTGAAGCCTGGCCACAACTGGGCAGTGGAAAGGGCTGCGCAGCGTTTGAAATGTAAAGGGCTCCGCAGTGTCGGAAGCACGGTGCAGCTTCTTGAAGCTAGAATCAGGTAGGATCAGGTATCACATCCAATCTACAACGGGGGCATTTG